CCCAAACCTCGACAACGAGTAACCGCTATACCTCAGCCCTGAGGCAAAGGTCAGGAGGAGCAGAGAGAAAAGCCTGTTTCTTGTCCACATCAGTTTGATTCTGGACTCGTTTGCCAAAATACTAACTAGTGCCATCTGCAGTGGTGGTTTTTGGGAGAGAAGTCAAGCATTAAGACAGAACCAGCTTAGTCTGCAAAGACTTCTGGAAAGCACTCAGCTGCCAGAGGAGCTTACAATCATAACTAACCCCTAGCCATATTTCACGTTAGTGGCCAGCTCCATGATCTATCCTAATCCCTTAAACTACCCAACTGCCTAGACTGACCAGACTTGATTTTGGTTCCAATATTACTAGGAAATCATTAATGGAATGAGGGCTTAAGGAATATTAGAAAGTCTTTAAGACCACAGATTGGACATTGGGTAGTTCCATAAATGCCTTGAGAAGACCCAGCCTGTCCTATTTTACGTTGCTTTCTGTGTATTATTTGAAAATGTGCCAAAAGTAACCAGTTACAAAGCAAGATCTTCTTTATATGGGTATGGAGCTCCATTCACATCCCTGTTCTCGCAAGGTGCTCAGGAGTTCATTTGTACACTCATTTCTGTGCCTGCACCTTGAAACGCTTTTTGCAGCAGTGTGCCGACCCTGCGATGCTTACGCTGGAACCCAGCACAGGCTTGGCGTGGCTAGATGTAGTTTGCTGCATGCAGGTGCTCACGTTAGGAGCCAAGAATGACTTACAACTGGATTGTATCGAAAACATTTAGATTAATTTCTCCACCCATCAGAAAATGCCAATTTTGAGCTTGCTGGCTCCCTTTCCCAGCTCACACCCTGACAACTCTGAGCCCAAATGCCTTGAAAAAGTCTTCTGCTTTCTACCGATGGTTTGTTCCAAGCTCCCTCTTCTTGCTCCTCCCAGATCCCTTCCCTTCATCTCTACCTTATTTTGTTTGTGTTCTCTTTAGTACTTACTGAACTACTTTCTACTCCACTTATTTTCTCCTGAGTAGCTCGCAAAGTCGCTTTTCCTCTACCCATAAATTCACATAACTGAGGTGCCTGTTGTTGGCATTGCAGAGCTCAGTCTGTTGATCAATGCTCACACTGCTTTCTCTGCCTTGTCTCTTTTTGTCTAGATTGTGAGCTCTCAGGACCATCCTCTATTCTCTGTTTGTACATGCCTAGGACAGCAAAGTCCTGGTTTTAACCAGACCTTAGATACAATTTAAATAGCCGTGATTAACTGCAGGTTAGATAGCTATTCCTGAACCCATCTCATTAATAAGCTGTCAGGAAGGCATCAGGTACTTCAAAATACTCCACAAGCTTTTGCAATTTTATATCTTCACCTCATTTCCTATCCTCTCATTTTCCACAATAATATAGAATTAGTTATTTTTAAATCGTGATTCTCATTAGACTTATTCAAAATCAGTTTATAATAATAAACAAAATAGCCGAATGAAGAACAACTCTAGTGCTACTTCTACAGGCTTTTGCAAAAAATCTGTGACCACGTTCTAAAGAACTACATTACAGCCCCCTCCACTTTCCTCAAGAAAAACATGAAAAACATGGGGGAAAAATATAGTAGCAGTGAGCCCAGAGAACAATGCAATATTTGGCAAGCCTTCTCTTAACAGGTTGATGTTGACAGTTCCAGTCAAGGCAGAGTAAGAACAGGCTTTGGCCTACTGCAAGCTGTTTCAGATGCAAAAGTATGTGAAGAAAGAATATCCCTCCCATAAACTTCATTGAATTTTAATGTTACATTCAGACTCCTTGATTACAGCCAGTGAGGTACATGTTATAAACCCTCACTCTCTTCCCCGCATCCAAATGCACTACTGTGGCCGGAGGCAGGACAGGTTCATTCATCCCAGAGGTGGTTATCAGCTGCCCACTGGAGACTGCACCACGTTTTCTGTTCTTTCACTGGTGGCGCGCTCTCTGGGCCCACAACCCTTATTGTGGCACTATTCTCCCATTCCACATCACCCAAACACACTTCCAGTGCCGTAAAGTCATAATGATGCGACCACAATAAGCAATCCAAGCCATATGAAGTGTGTATATAAAGCAAAATTAACTCACTGCCTCTACAGCTCTGCTAACGTTCTAGCAATTGCTTTTCTGACTCTGCGAAGTAAACTCTCCCCCTTTATTTCTCTTCAGCCCTAAAGCTCTTTGTCTCTCAAAGGTTTTCTCCTCTTGCCACCCATTTCCCATGAGCAGCCACAGCCTACAACTGAAATGGAACAACTGGATACAGTGTGGGTGAGAATAAAGTGTCAAAACATGAAAGTTCACCCAAAACTAAGTGACATAAGCCACTAATCTCCAAAGAAAGCAAGACTACTTTCCTGCAAAACTCTTACCATAAGAAAGGAGAATATTCAACACAAATCTTAGCATGCATCAATACATTGCTTTCCAGATAGGATAGTCTTCACTTTACGTTTAGTGCGGAGCACCAACACATATATTTTATAGGAGATATTTTTATAGAAAGTACTTCAAACTATAACTTAACTATAAGCTTCCCTTCTGTTGCATAATCGCTTTGAATGTGATATCTGTGACATGAACTCCCCGTGTTGGTCCAGCTCTGCTTTTGCACCAAACCAACGAGTCATTTGCTACCCCCTTGGCCTCCATCATGGGCCACCTCTGTATGAAAACAGACAGCAGTTTTCACAGCACACACTCACAGTCGAGGACTATTTGCATCGCCTCTCTCTATAAAAGAGTAACACCATCACCTCGCCTTTGGATCTGCACACTGGAGCGGAGGGAAAAAAATGGTTTTGTGACCTACAAAAGCCTTACTTGAAATAATTCTCTACGACTTGAGGCCTTTTGGAATGGAAGGGATATATTGTTTTGACTTGATTAAAGCTGAAAAGTTGATTTGACATCCTGTTGTCAAGGAAACCAATTCACACACAAAAGAAAACAGTTGTGATGGTATCATTCAGACTATTCAAGTGACCTTAGAAAGAAAAAAAGGCTTCAGTTCCAAAGATTTGTATTCAACTCACTTCACCACTGCAGAAATAAAGATCACTGCTCTTTATGCTTATTGGAAAGCAATTTTCAATCTGGAAAAAGCAAAATGCCACATCTTCTCCTAGCCTGCCAGATCCAATACTTTGCTGGGACTGTACACATAAATATACCTACCATTCATTGCTTATTTCAAAAGAAACCTATAGAAAGAGTCCCACAGAAGATGCACAGTGAAGGAGAAGGAATTGCACTAACTGAGAGGACCATGACAAATATTCCCTATACATCCCACACTTACTGAATACCAACTCAGCAAGCCAGGTATTAAAACATCTTCCTTCAGCTACAAACAAAGCTCACCTCAAGCACAGCAATGTTTGAGCCCACCTTTGTTTTCCTGGGAGATGTCAAGAGCAGCATTTATTCTCTGCCAGCCTCCCGGATCCCTCACAAATCACATCTGACAGGCTCACAATAAAGGGGATACAGTTATGCTCAGTCTGCTCCTTCCTCCTCCCCACCGAATCCCAAGGAGGCACCATCACCACCACCCAGCCACGTAGTCTATGGAATCTCACCAGGGCTTAATGCTTTCTCTCATTGACTAACAGTTATGCGTAGAGGGGAAAAACAAAACTTTCTATCCATCCGCTCACACACTATAATTATATACCCCTTTCTCCAATGACATAGCCTCCGCCTGGCCGAGTGAAGAGGCAGACAACTAAATAGCAAATTGTCTCCAATTCAGCTTATAAAAAATAGGCATGATATTAATAAGGAGGGAAATACACTGAGGAATGAATGCCAGTGTTCTTACATTATTGTCATTTAAAGGCATCACACCAAAGGTCATGGAGATAGTAAGCCTCAGTCATTCTCCATTTGTTACACAACATACGAATTGCCACACTGTTAATGAATATCTTTCTCCAATTCTGGGCAGCCACACTGTATTGTTTCTTCTTAGACAAGAACTTAACCAATGCAATTCATTATTCCCATCTCTTCTTGCAGCACTTTGTCCTTAGGGCTGAGCATAAATGCCACAAGAAGGCTGCGACTGGAGCATCAAATGCTTCGTATGACTGAGTCTGACTTCTCTCCACTAGAGCTTTTTTTTTGCTGGGAGAGCATCCAAAGCATATTTATATCATTTATGAACAAATATGCGTGCGTGCGCGCGCACGCACACACACATTCATATATGCATTCTTACATGTATCTTAAAACCTCTGAAGAACACAGGAGAAAACCTTTCAACATTGTCTGTACTTTGCAGACATTGCTCAGTGCTTACTTATTAAAATAGTAAGTATGCTACAAACACCAACTGACCACAACAATAGAAGTTACCATGAAATAACCTCATTTCCACTTAAAATAATGACATCTGGAAGGCGGTACTCAGAATAGAAATGACTTTCACAGAAACATCAAAGTGCTAGTATGAAAGAGTATATCACTTAAACCCTCTTTACTTCTAACAAATAGTTAAGACAGCACAGCTGAGCTACACAGAGAGGAATGCCTTATTTCTGATCTGCTCATTATATGTTAAGTTTAGGATTTCTGCATAAATATAGACAGCAAGAGCTGCACAAAATTCATCCCGTTTCATGAACTATTTTTATTAAGACATTAAATTATGATTTCCAGCATTCACCATAAGGATAAGGAGTATGCAGATGAAAGGAGACTTTTGAAGCTTGTTAGCTTTGTATAGTGCTGCAAAAGACTAAACCCAAGGTGCTTAATTAATATTACAAAGAGAAAAATGAAGCCCAACACCAAAAAGTGTAAGCCAAGGCTATTTTCTGCAAGTAACCAAACAACCTCCACCTCTAACCCCTGAAATACTGCACTCTTCATTTTGCTGGACATCTTGTCTAGATATTTTCTCCCCTCTCTCTCACACAAACCCAAAGCAAAGCAAGCAGCAACAGCCACAAAAGCAGAAGGCTGGTAGTAAACCTAAACTCACCCACAAACAGGTCCGTACTCCGTTATGAGTTTTGTGTGGCTTTCCCAAAAGCCCTGGATAAAAGGAAAGAAAAACATGACAATATTTTAAAACAGTATTTGACATAAACCCTATATATACAATATATCTACCACTCACGCCAGTTTTGAAACTCAATTTGAGGAGCCCTTAACCCAACATCTCATTTTTCTCTCCTAGTCAATCTATTAAAATAGAGTCTAGAAATTATGACTGGCAGGGGGGGGGGACCAAAACCAAAAAGACCCAAAAAACCATGAAACATGTTTTCCTCAGAGACTTGGAAAACAAAATCTCCCTCCACTCATTTATTTCACTCCAGAATATGCTACCATTCCATGATATTTTTTTTGATCAGTTTCACGATTTGGGGGTTTTGATTCACTTTTTTTTCTTATATATGAAGAGATGGAAAAATAGAGAGAAATTAATAAGGGAATGACTTATATGACTTATTACATGCAAGAGAAATATAAAGAACATGAAAGAGATTTTTTTTGTTTTAGTTACATTATTAAAAAAAAAGGCAAAGTTGAGTTTAGCATGAGGTAGTCACCTGGAAGATACTGCAGAATAGTAAGCAGATTTATTTTAACAAACTTCAAGAATTTTTACAGTGCGTTTCATTCTCATAATTGATGGAAATTGGTATCCATTTATATAAATAAATCTGCCACTATACTAAATTGCTAGTGCTCTAAATGAATTCAAATTGATTATTCTGAAAGGTGTGTAAAATGTATCCCCAAAAGAGAATATGAAAAAGATTTGCTTCAACAAAACTGCAATATTTGAGAATCACACTGTATCGTGTTTGTAACTTGCCTGTGGAAAAATAACGCATTTGACTACATTAATCTGTATTTGTATTAATGCTAGAAAGACTGTATTGTGATCTATCTTCATTCTTCCAAGAAAATTCACTAACAAAGTAGAATACTTAGGTCTCATGTCGAAACTTTCTTATTTTTTATGATATGTAGAATATTAGCTTGAACAATATGAAATGTCATAAATAAATAAATCATAGACATAAATGAACAAGATACAGTATAACGTGTGTGGGCTTTGGGAGCATTTTCCCCACCAAACAAAAGAAAGTCTGGTAATCAATGGCAGTCTAATTTATCACCCAAGTTAGCAAGGTACTTGCCACGACCTACAACTCTCTTCTTAAAGGGCCCTTTGATTTTTTTTTTTTTATTCTTAATTGAGTTAGTTTGTTTGCTTTTAAATCATGGAGCTGTATATGTTTATTCTACAGGACAATGTGTCATCAGGTTAAGACTGGACCTTTAGGTTTTCCATAAGGGATAAAATGATAAAGCACTGGGTGACATGAGTATTAAAAAAAATTACAAAAAAAAAAGGGGGGGGGATGGTTTAGATGATTGCCATAGATGTATGTATATTCCTACCTGAAAAATATCTTACTACTAAGGTAAGGAAAAAAGCCTTGCCTGTTAGAGACTAAAGACCAAGACTAAAGTGGACAAAGCATTTGTGCAAAACACCTTGCACTATCACAAACGCACGCAGCTAACACGGAAAGGTTTATAGCTGCAGTTTCTGAGGGAGGGGGAAAAGATGTGTGCCCACTCACACCAGCCTGCCTTCTGCTATAGCAAAACTTCAGCAATAGCAGGATTTCAGCCTGAAGTTGTAGCATTTCAGCTTTACGAAGGTTATCTGTTGGCTTTCCCCTAATGACATGATGGGAAACCTCGGACCAAACCCCCGCCCAGCGCCGCCCTTCGAGCAGTCGTCCGCGGTTGCGCCAGGCAGGCTCAGGCCAACGGTGACTCTCTCCAGCCGCTTTGCTGGTAGAGCGGCTCCAATCTGCATAAACACGGTTTAAAGATTTACAGCCACTTTGAGGCACCAGAGCGACGCAGGGCAGAGCTCGGTGGTACCGGCCAGAGTCGAGCCCCGAGCCCTGCTGAGGTGTAACACGCTCCCATATTGCGGCGGCATCAGTCGTGCGGGACAGAGGGACTTTGAGCCGTGTGAGACAAGGCAGCATCAGGTCCGTGCCTGAGCCCACCTTCCTCCTAGCCCAAACGTTCAAGGGGGATATCCCAGACTGCAGCCGAAACGTCATCTCTTAAATTTTGCTTTGGATTGCAAGCACGCACTTACATATTGCACTGGCTGTATCCACCAGCTGCATTCCAGCCAGCCAGCAGGATATTAACATTTACAAGAAGTCGATGCTCTAAATGATTCAGTAAAAAAGCCTCCCAGAAAGCCAGCTTCTTGGAAGCCCCTCTCCTGGCTCACTGCAATAGAGGTGTCAGGCAGAACAGGTTTCAAATCAGGCCTGTTAACCAATAACTGGTCTTCCACCTCTAGGTCTCCTAAATGATTACACCAGCTTAAAATTAACTATGCCCTTCCCCCCACCCACCCCCCAAAGTGAGAAGCATACACCTCCCGGATGGGGGGAGGGATGGACTATCCCAAGTCCCTGCAAGACTTTCACGGCTATAACCCAAGGTACAGCCTTGGGTTATATGTACCTAAGTACGAAGGAGCTTGTATCTCTGCTAGATGGCTGTGGGGAAGGCCAGTGAAGCGGTGACTATCTCAAACGCACAGCGAGGGGCTAGGCCGCTTCCAGGTAGCCCTGCTGGTATTGCAGCTTCATCCCCGAGCATGGCTCCCAGTAAAGAGGTACCTTGAAAACCTCCTCCTCCTCCAGCAGCTCATGTTTGAAGCACAGCAAGCATCGTAAGCACCACTGGTAACTTTGCGTTAGCTGAGGTCAAGCTGGTCCAAGCTCCATTACTGCAGGTTTATCCAGTTTTATAACTGCAATTGTATGCAATACACAGGACAACTAAGTACTTGCCCATCACCAGCAACTATTTTTCATGAAAATGGAGACAAGAGACCTCTCCTCCACTCCCCAAAACCACATAGGAGGGAACAGAAAGATGGGGAAGCAAATTCAGAAACTGTTCCTCTTAGACATGCACCTAGTGGTTTACACAGCCATCATTCAGGCTCTGCAATGATGCAATATGTGTGTGAGGAAGGAGCGAACAGTGAAAAATGAAAACAGGAGTACTCCTGTTTTCTTAAAAAAAAAAAAAAAAAAAAGGAAGAAGAAAAGGAAGCTGAAAAGTAAAACAAGGCAAGATATTATGAGCTGACACAAAGCACGTCAGGAAGAACTACAGCACGTTAAGCAATCACGCCTAACAATGAAGTGTAAAAACATGGTCAGTAATGCTTTTTCAAGTTAGAAAAACCACTTAGCCCTTTCCTTCATCTGGAAACCCCCAGAACATGAATCACCACAAACAACTCCGAAAAGGGCTGGCGCAGGGGGGAGTTGCTGCGTTGGGTCCCGATAGCGAGGTACTAGCCCATTATCAAACAAGATAATGCAGGAGTATGAAAGGATTTGCTCCCTGAAGAAAGCATATTTTCCAGCATCTGGTACACCATGGAAACAGCAGCTCAAGTGGGCTGACTGCTGCACACCCAGAAGGCTTCTTTGTTTACATGGCTGGCGGTTGCCTCCCTACAGGGAATTTGCATTCTCCTCTTCCTTTGAGCATACATCATCCGATGTATCTGTGTGCAAAACCACGCGCAGGGCCATATCCTGCTTTCAGGGATACAGGTGCAAGCCCTGCTGAATGAAACAGGATTTGGGGCTACCACAGCCAGAGCAAAATCTGGCCACGGCCAACTATCCTGAGATATCAAACATTGAGACTTTAGCCTGTGCAGCACATAAATCAAAGGGCTTCAGGAAGGACTCTGTTGGTTCAAGCACCCCCATTTGTTTTTTCCAATAGATTCTGCCACTCCAAGACAGATCCTTCAGCAACTTCATCTTCACTGTATATTCACCTTGCTAGCTCCTCACAGTCTCAAAAATCTGCAGCAATGTCATCATCCCTACTTGCTGAAAATGGCTGTAGGCACTAAGCCAAAGTTTTCAGAAACAGCCAGTAGTATTGTGCATTTCAATTTTGGGAATGTCTACATTAGGCATATCAGACCTGTTCTTGTTAGATGCCACATGCCTGCTGATCTCATGGACTGCAAATGGGAACCACATCTAAAAGTGTAAGCTTAACGTGACCCAAACTGCAGAGGATGCTTTGCGACAGTTCAGCTTGCTGCTGTCGAAAAATAAATCATGTGGCTTATGAGGATAGGTAGGGTCCTTAAGAGTCACTAGATAAAATGCTTTCAAGGGGACCACATAGCTGGGATCCAGCAGACACAGCTCAAAACTTGGACTTCAAAAAAATTGCTTCCAGAGCGCATCAAGGGTTGCCCCTGCACTTGGTAGTGTACTGGATGCTACAAAGGCTATGGAGCTATGTGAGGACTGGCATGACGTGCCCCTCAAAGTCCATTGCAAGTAGGAAATATTACACACGCAGAAACAGCAAAGGAAAGAAGCCTTCTTTTCTTACCTCTTTCTTGAAAGCACCACACTGACAGCACAGGATCCAAAAATTCCCTAACCACTGAATATATGGGGTAGCGGCAAAAATAAGGCAAGCTTTTTTGCTTTGCCAGCTCTGGGGATCTCAACTTCGACCTGAAAAGAGCATCTCTAGGAGCAGGGGTGAGGGGTACTGCACGCCCAAACACATCTTGGCTGGGGATGCCAGCAGTGATGGTATCTGATGCCAGCTCCTGTTCACAGGGAACTGCACTGACAGCACCAACTCCTGTCACTTAGGCTCCTGGAAAGGTCACTCACAGCCTAGATTCAAACCTGTGACTCTGAAGCCATAGGCTCCATATCCCATTCCCATATACGCCCCACCCTCGCTCTCCCCACCCTGCAGGCAGATGTTATGCTCCATTTCACTATGATATTAATAAACTGAAGCATCACTCTTTGAGCACACACCTCACATCAAGAGACAAAAATCTATACAGTTATCTATGATAGATAATGACAATGAATGACATTTGTGGATGGGTTTTTTTAGTATTCAGCAGGCTTCAAGTATCTTTTTTCCTTAGACCACTTGGAAAAACCCAACCACTAATAACCTAG